CCACTCCACCACAGAGTCACCGCAGTAGACGTTAGATGAGCGCTGTCGCTCTGCGGCACTTGTTTTATTGAGACGCCTCAACTGCATGTGGATGGAAGTATGATAAGCATTAGCTCTAGTACTATAGCCCGCGTCGTTGCCGCACGCCTGCGGCAACTAGTAGCATGCGGTACAGTAAACACCCGCATAAAAGAAACTGCGGATTAGGAACCTCCAGGCTTAAATTGGACCAATAAAGCACCTAGTATATAAAAACCACTTCAGCCTGATAAATTAAGCAGATTCTTATATGAAAAAAATACCGAAAATTAGAGCAAACTGGGGCAATCCAAGTATACACGTGTGCTACACCATTGGAAACCAACAACATGTAGTTCATCGGCAATGACATCAACAGTGTCAATTATTCACCAATTAAAGCCAATTTTACCTAGATAATGTACACAATATCCCCCACAAAATTAAGAACCTCTTTAAGAACCTCTTCGGGCTGATTCCTCACTATGTATAATATATATATAAGAACCACTTCAGCCTGAAACAGACAATCACGGGTTCTTTCATGCGGGTGCTTACTGTACTAGAGCCAGGGGCGGATCCATGGGTGAGGCTAGACAGTATTTTTCCCAGATTTTAAGGGCACATCCCCCAAAAAGGGCACACCACCCCACATTGTGCGCCGTAACTTTAGTAAGTACTAGCCGGGCGCAGGCTAACGCAGGCGTAAGGTGCGAATTTCAAAATTTCAAGGGTACCTGGGCACAAAAAATGAGCCCCCTTTGAGCACACATTTAGTCAAGCAGCAATAGCTAAAAACCATATGGAATTTTATTTCTGCTTCATTTTGCCTGCGCTTTGCATACCAGCAATTAATGCAAAATGATTCAAGCACTTCCTTCTTTTTCAGATATCAAAGCTAGTTTTGTTACCATGTAAAATTTTGATTTCCTTCAAGTCCTGTCAATGAATCAGAAGAAAAAGAAAACAAATAAAGAATATAGCCAAATTCCATCAAATTGTTTTGTCTTTTTTCTTTATTTTTGAAAACAATTATTTTTGTATGTACAACCCATTTTACATTATTATTTCCATCACTCCTTGAAATATTATTGCACTGCACAGGATAAAAAATTATTTTCTCATTTATTGCAGCAGAACTAGGTACTAAGTAGAGAAATATGATAAAGATTTTCATATAATTCAGCTTTAAATCATTTGTACATTTAAATTATTGCTTCTGATTCAAATTCCACTTAATACATATACATGCAAAGTTCATAAATTTCTTTGATGTAAAGTGAGGTTTACTGTACTGTAGGAAAGCATTCCTCATAATTGCACAGGAGATAAACATTGTCAATGTTAATAACAGAACAACAAAATTTCGAAATTGCACTACATGTACATGCAGGATACAAAATAAAATACAGTAACTTTCACTGCAAAGTAACCAAACACAACACACACGGTATTACCTAACCCAACACTGAATGGGGTGAGACACTAGTACTTATCGGCAAATAAGTCAATAAATGTCATCTTACGTTTGTTTCTACGAGCAAAGCTGTCCACAGCAGCTCCAATATCTATTTCTTGTTGGTAATGTACACACATGAGAGCTAATCCATTGAAACGGTCATGAGACATGGTTGTACGCATATAAGATTTTAAACGACGGAGGGCTGACACAGATCTTTCACATTCGCAACTGGTTACCGGTATGGTTCACAAAATTTGTAACGCCATTTTTATGTTTGGAAACATGTCACAATCAACCAAGGGAAGAAGCTGTCTTAGTGTTTGTGGTTTTTTGTCTTCTAAAGACCAATAATTCTCCCACAGATTCAGCTCAAGATCAACATTTTTTGCAGCTGCATGGCATGTCATCAGCACATGTGACCCGCTCCAGCATAATACGGACTACTTCTACTTCTACTTCTACGCTATATTGGCCACCATCGACATACTGATGATTATGCCAACGGGAGGCGCTAGTTGAGACTAAAATAACATTTTCCTTCCCTTGATTTTCTAAAGAAAACAAAACAAAAAAGCAAATTTTACTTAAAAAACTGCCCTGATGTCGTTTAGGCTTAAGAGACTTAATAATCAGAGACTTAAAGGAACATAGATTTTCGGCTGTCACCACTTCAGTGGGTAAGGCGTTCCACTCTGTAATAGACCTGGGAAATAAGGAGCCTTTCCTGTAGTCACATCTGCAGGATGGGATTTGAAAAGAGTACGTGCTCTGACATGTTCCTGGTGCTTCGAGTAGGTGGTATCAGACGGTTGTTGGTATCCAAGTTGACCATGCCGTTGACGAGCTTGTACATCATAGCCAAACGGGCAACCCTTCGTCTTGACTCCAGCGTCGGCCAGTTGAGTGTTTCAAGCATGTCAGTAACACTCGACCTGTTGCGGTGGCGGTTTGAGACGTATCTTGCTGCTCGTCTTTGGACCATTTCAAGATGTTTGCAGTCCTGCGCCTGATATGGATCCCATACCGTGCTGGCATACTCCACCGTGGGCCTAACCAATGAGGTATAGGCAAGTGA